TTATCAAACGCAGCTTTAAGATCTGTGTAGATGGCATCCACTTGGAGTTTCTTAGATACATTTTCCATGCAGAAAGACGTAAAGCTGACGAGATTCGTTTCGACGGAGCGGCCAGGAAAGAAGCCATGTTGGCAGGTGCTAATGTAGTTTTTGCAGGAACCAAACAATCTCTCATTGACCAGCGACTCGAACACTTTAGATTCGACCCCGAGCGAGGTAATCCCACGGTAGTTTTCCACATTGCATTTGTCTCCTTTCTTGAAAACAGGGAACATAGTAGAGCATTTCCAAAGCGTGGGAAACTTACGCTGATGGAGCGATAGATTAAAAAGCAGGGTCAGCGGGCGGCTAAGATATCACAGCATTTTTTCAGCACAGCAGATGGCATAACGCTCGGTCCGGGTGAAAAAGAAGATTTAGTTATCCTTATCGCAGAGAGAACCATTTCAACATCCACAGTAAAAACATCCATGTTTACGACATCGGTTGGCACATCGCGGACTGCTAGATTGATTTCAGCTTGCGATGGTGAGTCGTTCGAGAAAATGCTCGAGAAGTGCCTTGCATTTATCCTCAGTTGTCAATGCTACGTCGTTGCCCAGAAACACCTTCGACGGGAGACCCAGTTTCTTTTCTTTTAGTATTTACGAACGACCAGAATCCCCTAGGATTACTTCGCAGATTGCGTTCAGTGCGAATTACATACCGCTGGTAGAGAAGCTTGTTGTAGCGGCGATAGTTGTTACTGGCAATTGAAAAATTCCGTTAGTCCATGGCGGTAGGTACTTTGGCACTAAAGCAGAAATACAGTCGCGCAGAAAGCAATTATAGCGATCGACAGCTTCAACACGTTCCAGTCTATCTCGGACAAGGAACGTCACAGCAAACGTAAATCAGTCTTCCGGAAGTTGAGACGATAGACAATCGAAGTTTCATCAAAGTGAAGTTGAGATCTATTTGCGATAGAAATATCCAAAGCAGGATGGAAGTTGTCAAGAGGAACGATGACATCAGGCGTCTCAGTAACGGTTCAGTCAGGAAGTGAATTTTCACTAACGAACACCAAGTCTAGGAAATGAGACTGAAGTGGGGAACTAGATTTATCTGCCTCAATCCATGAAAACCAGTACCGTCCACAAGCAAGCGGCTGGCCGGAGTAGTAACAGATGCTATTGGATCTGGATATGCAAATCCCTGACCTGAGTGCGACCAGATAAGCCCAGGCTGATTGAAATCACCGAGCATAAGAATCATGTCCGAATAATTAGCCATAGAAGAAGCAAATTCTGCAGCATCCATATGAAGTTGCATTATGCTACAGTCGAGACGTCGTTCACGGGGAATGTACACCGCTCCAATAAACATGCTCCGTGAAGCGAGGCTAATTTTAACCCAAACAGTCTCAATCGAAGTAAATTGTTCATAGGCGATCTGGCAAGAGGCAAATGCGTTGGAAACAGCTACGAGAACACCACCTCCGCGAGTACGAACACTGTTGACAAGATTACGGTCCAATCGGTAGACACTAAAGGAGTCGCAGTCGCAGTTGCACAGAATTGATCCTCCCATCAAGCCATGTCTCCGTGAAGACATAAACGTCAAACTCCTCGTTAAGCGCAGCAAGATAAACATCGTCCAATTTAGTCTTGAGTGCTCTGGTGTTTTGATAGTACACACGTAAACCGCGTTGAAATACAGCGTGTGTCCCGCAAGAAGGTAAACTGCAACTCGAAAAGGTATCAGAACTTGACAAATATTCATCTATGCAACTGTACTTGCCTGTGGTCACAGGTTGGAAGACCCCGTCTCCGTTTCCGAACTCAGGACCGGGACGACTATGACGGTGGGATCCAGCAAGCTCGACTGAGTCGGAGGGATTAGGGGCATCCAATGTTCTGAGTGCAGTGCGGCCCGGTGAAGAAGTGAACGATGATGAAGGAAGATAACGTTGAGGTACTCGTTGCTGCTCTAGGTGAACCATCCTGGTGTTTGGTTCGGAATTGAGAAGTTTGTTTTCGGTAGAGTCAGGCCGTAACGATATGCTGGAAGCCAAAGAACTATCAACCAACGAATTGCTGATACGTGAGGAATACTTGCCTGTAAGAGGGTTCTGGAAGACCCCGACACCAACCTCGACGACAGGTCCAGAACGACTGTGAAGGCAGGAACAAACAGCAAGCACGACTGGGTCGGAAGGACTAGGGGCTTCCACAATGCTGCAAGCAATGCGTTCTGGGTTGATTTCAGCAAGCAGCGGTGAATTGATTGATTTCAATGTAGAGGATACTATTGGCCACCGGTATCCGCTGGTGGTTTCGCACCAATACTGATGACTTGACGGTTTTTTGAGCGATTTTCAAATTCACGGAAATACACGTTCTCAGGCCATATTTCTTCTGACAATGCAACGTCCTTCAAATCTTTACAAACGCCCACTTTGAAAGTCACAAAGCTAAGTGTGGCAGGGTCTTTGTCCTTAGGCACCAAACTAATAACCTTAGGTTTCACATCGGGGCCCAGATTCATGCAGGTAATTGCTAGTGATGCGATGTCATCATCTAGAGTGTTGGGATCAAAAGCTGACAGATAAATCCATAGCAGATCCTCACGCTGTGGCACTGTTTTCGACGTATTAAAGGCTTATTTAGTCCCACGAGTAACCGGAGCTTTCGCCGACGACAGGTTCTCATCACGCTTCCGTTTCGGAGTGCTGGGAACAGGATTCGACCCAAAGATTTTCGGCCATGAAGGATTCAAAAGGGGAGCTGGAGGTTTGGCATCTACCTTTGCAGAAAGAACATTTACTATGTCCTTCAGCCCAGCTATGTCGTCTTTTAGCGAATTCACTGAAGCTTCATCAGGTAAATTTTCAGCAGTGCACCGTGACGTAATTTTCCTAAAGTGGTCGCTGGAAAACACATCCGCGCAACAATCGCACATCCAAAAAAGATTCCGGCAATGAGTTCCCAACGCCTCGTGTAGAATAATCCACCTTTGCACAGATCAAGTGAAACAAATTACCGCAGTACCCGCGGCAACAAATTTTCTCCGAATCCGATACAACTTTTTTGTAACTGGTGCATGCCATCCTTACTGATGATCGATCGAAAGTGATATCAACAATCAATTCGAAACTAACGATTTTAAATTGGCTCACTACTTGACTAGCCTATTGGTCCCAAGCAAACGATTAACGTATCCCATTCTAGCCGAAATTTTAGTACTACGCAATCATTGTTTTGATTCGCTATGAAAGTTTGACAGATAAAATGAGGGGTTATTTGATTTTCCTATGTTTCGAGGGGTGAATCGATTTGCTTGGGACCGAAGAGAGTACCAGAGCTGAGCCAAAAAGTTGAGCACGTTTCTTCGGGAACTTCTGGTCTTAGAGTTACCTCTATGGTGATATCGCCAGCAAATATGCTTCACGACAGTCAGCACTGGTTCCTTTTTATTCCAGGAGATGTCGCTCCACGCGAAAAAAAAATTGCGTGGGGAGGTGGTAGGTGCTTACTAATCAGTGACAACACAATACCAAACAATGCACAGCACTCGCGACACGTTTTATATACGATTGGCACTAGAAATGCTCTGAACTATAATAGCACTATGATGTGAATTGTGTTGTGTGGTCGATATTCTGACACATGCCTTTGACGACGATGACGACTACGACGACGGCAGTCCAGCTAACTAGTCTACCGGTAACTACAGAGACGTGGCGGTTGGACTAGCGCGTCTACCGTACGTGCTTGATTTACTACTCGGATTTGATATCCTTGTTAAAAGTCCACTACACAGACACTTCTGGTCTACTCACTCACCTGAGATAAAGTCCGCGATGGCCGTTGCTTGAGCATCGCAGAACCCGTGACTCCGTGTCACCGTCTTGCCGCGGCCATGCACGCCTTATTCAGCAATCGCCGTTAAGCATGGCCGTATCCCCGAGCAAAGTCCAGCATCAAAATGACAGCAAATTGAAATCAAGTTTTGATATCAACATCAAACTGAAATCATAATTTGATTTCAGTTTACACATTGACAAATTTGATACCAAATTTTGTTTTCATTTTGTTGTACATTTGCTCTTTAAAAATATGTTGTTACGGGTTTGTTTTCATTGCCTTAGCATAACATCAAATTGAATACTTGTTTTGTTATCAACAGGAAAAATGGATAGCAAATTTGGTTTTCAGTTTGCTCTCACTGATAGCAGAAATAGTTTTCAATGTGATGTCACAGGAAGATATGTTTGCTCTTAATTTTGATATTTTAACCGTTAAAACGACCAAAACGACAACAACCTGAGTAATCATTATCAGCGAAATCACAACATCAAATTTAGATTTCAATTTGATCTCAGACTTTGCTCGGGTCGCCTGCCCAGTGGGTTTCACCGCAAGTGGTTTACACATTTATTTGAATGCTCGATAATATGGCTTGGAACTCGGGTCTAATTACGAACCATTATTTTCAAAAGTTTTGTTCCTTTGGCAGGTCTCGTTTTCTTTGATATTGCCTCCTACGGACATTTTCCAGACGGATCAAGAGCTGAAGATCATCGTCTATAATAGTTGAATCAAATTTAACATCGCATTTTGGTACTGAGGCAACTCTTGCTTCAACTATAGAAGTAGTCAAGAGCATAATTAATTTCATCTTTGGTTTGCAAAGGAATGTTTGGATCAAAGCTATATTCCATAAGTGTTCGTATTGCACACAATCAGCTCTATGGAAATTGAAAGTAGAACTGTTGGGACTAGCAATTATTTCTTGGGATATTTTAAAAGTTAGTCAGTATGGGTAACCAATTGGCTACAAAGTTGACATGAATCAGTTAGGACCAAATCAATAGTTGAGGGATTTCTTGGTGAAGAAAAGCATGTTGGGCTATTTGAATATTGAATAAAGTAATAACCCGCAGAAAATCATCAAACAGAATATTACCATTGGAATTGCTTTGAGCGTTCTCCGTGAGAAGGGATGCCGTGATAGCGAAAATGGAACGCATTCACGATATGATGATTCGAGCTGGAGCTGGAGGAGTAACTGTGTACCATTTAGAAACGTATCTTCGTTTGGTGGATTCCTGCTACGACGAATTCAACCTAATACAAAACGAGGTCTATGTGGAATTTCCTGACCTGCGGGAAGAGCAGGAAATAAAGTTCATTGATTTCGAGCAGGATCTTCGCGTGGAAATTTGCACTGCTCTGGAAACATTTCGTAAGAAGCAGATTGTGCCACAGGTTGCATTGCCAGCGCCCGTTCCTGTCGCTCTGGGACAGCCTGCCATCGCCAACCAAGTACCCGGATTACCTCACGTCCCGTTACCATCTTTTGATGGGACCTACGAAAAGTGGTTTCGTTTCAAGCAGCTGTTTCAAGATTTGATGCAGAAGTATCCGGGCTTGTCGGACGCAACAAAGCTACACTACCTGACGCTGGAAGGAAAGGCGGAGAATGTCATAAACGAGCAAATCCTCAACGAAAACAACTTTGACGCTGCGTGGAATGTGCTCGTAGAGAGGTTCGAGAACAAGCGCACAATCCTTGACTTACACACGCATGGAATCATAAACCTCCCGAAAATGAAGAATGAAAGTGCGGCAGAGTTAAGAAAGCTTGTGGATGAATGCAGCCACGAATGCGGCACGTAGAAGGCTTGGAGTTCCACGACAAGAAGATGCTGGGAATGTCCGAGAATTTGGTGATTTCCCTCCTGACGTCGAAGCTTGATAATGCGACGCTCAGTCAGTGGGAAAATACCATCAAGCACAAGGAAATCCCGAAATACAAGGAAACGATCCAGTTTCATCGAGATAGATGTTTCACTCTCGAACGTTGTGAAGCGAATGCAGCGAAAAAGCCTGTCGAAACATGGAAGCAAAGGTCATTGGTTCCCAACCCGAAGCCTACCGTGAGAGTGCATGCAGCACAACAGGAAATTGAGGAAACGTGTGGAATTTGCGACGATTCACACAACGTCAACAAGTGCAAGGTCTTGAAGCAGATGCCCATGTCTGAGCGTGTGGGGAAGGTCAAGGAAAAACAGTTGTGTTTGAAGGCCTTAAACAAGGACATCGAGTCAGTCAGTGCAGATCTAGGGTTTGTACCATCAGCGGTTGCGGTAGGAAGCATCACACGCAGTTGCATTTCGAAGAAAGCTCGGTTCGCCCTAAACCTGAAGCGGAGGAGAGCGGTAACGAATCCGACAAGGATCCACCTCCAGGCGAGTCTTCTCAACCGACAGCGAATGTCACGTGCACTAGCATCACGGCTACATCGCAGGAGATTTGCAAGAAACAAGTGATCCTTTCGACAGCCGTCGTCGAAGTTGAAGACGCTAGAGGAGCCTATCACCGTTTGAGAGTTATTCTCGATTCCGGCTCGCAGTCGAACTTCATGCAGCAACTTTGCAGCTTGAAAGGCGGCTTGACCAACATCCAGAGTTGAAGGAGCAGTATACAGCATTTATCAAGGAGTACATTGAGCTGGGGCACTGCGAGAAGCTACGTGAAGGTGATGTAGGCGATGAAGGATTGTATCTACCCCATCATTCAGTATTGAAGCCGTCTAGCACAACCACAAAACTACGCGTGGTGTTTGACGCGTCGGCACGGTCGGAAGGCAACCTGTCGCTTAACGATGTGCAGATTGCAGGACCGGTACTCCAGGATTCGTTGGTAGCCATTGCGATGCGCTCAAGAAAATATCGGTTTGTGTTCAAGGCTGACGTTATCAAAATGTTCCATTACCTCAAGTTCTATTGGCGCAATAATCGCACGGATAAGCTTGAAACGCACGTGCTGAAAACAGTCATCTTGTGCTCCATTCTGTGCTACTGCTTGGCTGACGATGAAGATGAGGATTTTCGGATTGTGGCAGAAGTGGTACGAAAGGCCTTTTTATATGGATGACGTCCAGCAGCTGATTGCCTTGCTACAGCGTGGAGGCTTCGATTTGCATAAGTGGTGTGCAAACTCCACATAACTCCTCGTCAACATTCAAGGACCGAGAACAACAAGCAAAAATCGAAGAGCACACAACAATCGGAGTCAGTAAAACTCTTGGGTTATTGTGGGACTCTACCCGGGATGTTTTCTTGTTCGATCTGCAGTCACAGGAGGATCAAGATGTTTATACTAAGCGCCTCGTACTGTCTGAAACAGCCAAGATCTTCGATCCACTCGGCTTCTTGGAGCCAGTGACAATCACGGCGAAGCTATTCATATAGTACATTACTGGGATGAGCGCTTTCCCACGGAACAAGAAGCAAGGTGGAGGCAGTTTAGAGGAGAGCTGCAAAGCATTGCAGAACTTAGCGTTCCTCGAAGAATTGTGGAAGATGGCGCCATTGCATTCGAAATACACGGATTCTCGGATGCAAGCAAGGCAGCGTACGGAGCGTGCGTATATCTACGATGCCTGAAGTCGAACAGCAGTGTATCAATGCATTTGTTGAGCAGCAAGACCCGCGTTGCACCGTTACCAAAGAAACACGACAGCAAGAAGAAGATGAAACCATTCACGATTCCCCGAGGTGAACTTTGCGGTGCGCTGCTGTTAGCAAGGCTTGTAACTTCGGTCATCAAGTATTTGGATATGAAGATAAAGGGGGTCATCCTTTGGTGTGATTCGCAGATTGTTCTTTGCTGGCTTGAGAAGCCACCTCCAAGTCTAGGAATTTTCGTTGGTACCAGAGTTCGTGAGATCCAAGAGCTGACGCAACAATGGGAATGGCGATATATCGAGTCCGAGAACAACCCTGCAGATATCGCTTCCCGTTGGATTCCAGCTACTAGACTGCAGAATGCAAGCATCTGGTGGTATGGCCCGCCAATGCTGCATAGTGAGTATATCTACAACAACATCACCAATGGTTCGTTCACGCCCTAGGCAGTTTCACGTACTTTTTGACTCTCTATTCAGAGTGCTTTTCAACTTTCCCTCACGGTACTTGTTCGCTATCGGTCTCGTGGTGATATTTAGCTTTAGAAGGAGTTTACCTCCCACTTTGTGCTGCACTATCAAGCAACACGACTCCATGGAGAAATCTTCTACCATCAGCGCCGTTCAGAGCTACGCAACAATGCTGCCACATGTACCTTGGTATCCAGGAATGTGAGCTGCTTACACGTTACAGCAATTTCCGGAAGCTTCAGCGAATCTGGGCCTACATGTACCGATTTGTCAAAACTGTCGTCAAAGAAAACAAACAGATCGAAATGTTGTGAGTTGCGCAGTGCAACAACCAAAATAGTTGCACAAGTGCAAAGAGAAGGTTTATTTATCTGATGAAATACGAATGCTGGAGAATAATCGAGTGAAGGGAAGCAAGTTGCTACAGTTGGCACCATTTATCGATAAGGAAGGACTGTTGCGTGTCGGAGGACGCCTAAAGAATGCGTAAAGGTTGTTCGACCACAAACATCAGTTGCTACTACCCGGTAGCCACCATACATCGAAGATCTTGATTACTGCACTACTGGACAAGGAACATTTGCACGTTGGTCAACAGGGTCTGCTAGCGATTGTGCGTCAACGCTACTGGCCTATAAGAGGAAAAAATGTGGTCCGTCAGACCGTCAAGAAATGTCTCCGTTGTTTCCGCTTGAAGCCACCTGAAGTCATTCAGTACATGGGTAACCTTCCGGATTGTCGAGTAGTTCCTTCTCCTGCGTTCTTGAAAACGGGCTTAGACTATGCTGGACCGTTTTACATTCGGCAAGGAATTCGGAAGGCAACTAAGCTGAAATCCTACATTTGCGTGCTCATTTGTATGAGTACAAAGGCCGTACATTTAGAACTCGTTTCTGATTTGACCATTGAGGCGTTCCTGGCGGCCCTTCAAAGGTTCATCGGTCGCAGAGGAATTCCGAGTCAACTGTTTTCCGATAACGCCACAAACTTTCGCGGTGCACATTCGGAACTAAAGGAACTCTACGATTTGTTCCAGTCTCAGCGCACAACGAATATGATCAACGAACTGTGCACGGTAAAGGAAATTGACTGGTCGTTCATACCACCTCGTTCACCGAACTTCGGTGGTATATGGGAAGCTGGTGTCAAGGCTGCCAAATCACATATGAGAAAGGTACTTGGCGAAGCATCACTGAACTACGAAGAGATGAATACAGCACTGGTGCAGATCGAAGGAGTACTAAATTCAAGACCGCTAACACAGCTCTCCGAAGATCCAAACGATATCTCGGCGTTGACTCCAGCCCATTTCTTAGTGGGTCAAGAGCTGACTGCAGTACCAGAACCAAGCTACAGCGGAGTGAAGACGTCTTCCTTATCCCGATGGCAACATCTGCAGAAACAGAAAGAGGACTTTTGGAACAGATGGTCAAATGAGTACCTGAACCAACTTCAACCTCGTGGAAAGTGGTACAAGAATAAGGTGTTGATCAAGAAGGGTATGCTGGTAGTGATCAGAGAGGACAACATGGCTCCACTTCAATGGCGGCTTGGTCGCATCATACAAACACATCCCGGCGCGGATGGACTGATCCGCGTAGTAACAATCCGGACTTCTAACGGTGAGGTCAAACGATTTGTAAGCAAGATTGTGATTTTGCCTGTGGAGGACAACGTTTCAGTGGATTCATCGATTGACACAACGTGTCAACGGGGGGAGGATGTTAAGGATAATACCCATTGATTGCCTCCTACTACCCCGATGCGCTATCGGCGCTACTTTGGTTATACCCAGTGCTGCAAAATCTCGACAGTACACGGTGATATTCTGCGTGTTTTGCGAAAGAGGGAGAGCCAACTAGTTCCCACCTGGAACCTGAAGGTGACAGTGAAGGGAAATAAGGTACCACCCTTGGTGAAGATCTACAACTGCGCCTTCAGAGCTGAAATGTACGTGTTCCCAATGAAGCAATGCATGCGCTGTTGGAGGTTTGGTCACCCGGTCAAGCACTGCAAGGCAAAACCGAGATGTAAGAAGTGCTTCAAGTCGCATGAGCTGGAAGGTGAGTGCCAGATGACAACCAAATGTGCAAACTGTAACCAAGACCACCCGGCCGACGATCGGGATTGTGCGGAGAGAATAAGGAGAGTTAATATGCTACGGGAAATGCAAAGAACTGGAAAGCCCTACCATGAAGCTGAATCAAAATTCCCTAAGCTGTCAAACAGGTTCGAGCTGTTGGACGAGGATTCCGAATTTCCCGAAGTAGGCGGCGAAGAGAGCCAGCGGTCAGGGGGCGAAGGATGCAGTCAAAGAGGAAAAGCGGCATCTAAGGGAAGGGATACAAGAAGAACATACTCTCAAGCTACGCAAAGGAAGGACAAGAATACGAACGTGGAAACGGAACAGGATACTCAGAATCTGGGCGCGGTGAACTTGGTCAACACAACGCTAATCAATCGAAAGCATGCTGGCAAGTGTACGACAGGAACTTATCAAGCAACTGAGGTTGCAGGTCTGGTTGAAACCCCTCATCGAACTCCGAGACCAACTAGCGAAACAGATGAACGCCCCAAGAAGCGAAATAGACACGGATCAAATCCTGATAAAAGTCTTCGAAAAGATAAACGACATTGTTACTGCCGAAACCAACAACAACAATCCAGAAGAGCAGAGAATAGCCGCAAACAACAACAATGGCCAGTAAACAACTACGAATTGTCCAACTTAACATTACTAGTATCCGACCAAGCGAGAAAAGAGAAGAATTGAAGAAGTTTATGGTAGGTAACCAAATACAAATAGCTTTGCTTCAAGAAATATGGATTAAGGAGGGAGAACCATTCGTAATGAGGGGATTCAAACTAGTGTCAAAATGCAGACCAGAGGGCCATGGCGGCGTAGGAATCCTAGGAGACCAAACGGTCACTCTAGCAAAAATAAAAACACCGGAGTTCAAATGGCTAGAAGTAGTAGCAGCGAAAATCACAGAAGGGTTCGATCCGGTTTCCCTTGTGTCAGTCTACGCGCCCCCGACGAACAACAAAGCGATGATCGACGAAATGGGGAAACTGTTCGAATGGATAGAACAGTTGGAAGGGGAAATAGTAGTTGGAGGGGATATGAACGCTCACCATCGTAGCTGGAGCCCAATCGCAGAAGAATGTAGGAGAGGAAAAGCGCTGAAATACTTGATCGACTCATCAAAGCTGATACTCCTCAACGACGGACAGCCGACAACCATTTCGAAGCCTGGAAACAGAGACTCAGCAATAGATCTGTCACTAGCGACCGCTGGCATCACGAGGAAAACCACGTGGAGCGTAGAAGAGGAAGACTTCAATTCAGTGCATCTGCCGTTGGTGATAGAAATAAGTAGTGAAATGAAAGTAGTGCAACAGTGTGTTAAAAAAAGTTAATCAGAGTAGGGTAATAGAAGCAATTAATTCGATAAGACCGCAGTTCGTATACAGTGCGGAAGATATGCAAGAGTTATTTGAAGAAGTGATAGAAAAGTCATCGTCATAGTGAAAAACAAGAAGCAAAACTATCTAAAAAGCACTACTTTGAGGATAAGGAGAAGAACGTTAGCTACCCTACAGTCGAAACCAAACCGGAGATGCAAGCATACGAAATGGCGCTTCGTGATGAGGAGATTCTGAACGTGTTGAGGGGAAGAAGAACAAATTCAGCAGCAGGAGAAGATGGAATGTCGTACGGCATCCTAAAAGGTTTGTCACCCGGAATGCAGTTGAAAATAAGCGAGATGCTGAGTCGAGTATTTGTGTCTGAGCGAATTCCGGAGAGATGGAGAGTTATCGAGGTGAGGCCTATACTTAAGTCGCATCTAGATCAGTCGCTAGCAAGCTCCAAAAGGCCAATATGCTTGATGAATGTGTGTCTAAAATTAATAAACTCGGCCGTAAAAGATAGGCTAGTGGAATTAACGGAAATAGAAAACCTGATTCCGTCGCGATCCTTCGGATTCAGGAAACATAACTCATTCTCAACAGCGATCAATTATGTAGTAAACACAGTACTGGAAGCAAAGCAAGAAGGAAAGGAATGCATCGTTGTTTTTCTGGACGTTTCGAAAGCATTCGACTCAGTTGACACCACTAAACTACTGCAAACCCTAGCAGGGATGTCTATCCCATCGAAACTGATCAGCTGGCTGTACACCTACCTAACGAAACGGGAATTGCTGCTAAAAACGGAAGAAGAAGGAATCAGAAGGAACGTCACCGAAGGCCTACCGCAAGGTTGTCCGCTCTCGCCTATCCTTTTCAACCTATACACGGCATCACTCCACGATGTAGAACGAGAAGGGTGTGAGCTGGTACAATTTGCCGACGACTTCGCCATCATTGTGATAGGAGAAACGCTGGAGGATGCGGCGGTCAAAGCAAACGGAGTCCTATCGGATTTGCATGAAAAACTTCTCTCGAGGAATCTGAAGCTGAGACCAGCGAAATGCGCGGCGGTACCGTTTTCCAGGAAGGATCCCAGTCGACTGAGGATAAAAATCAACAATCAACCCATAGACATAAGAAATACCCACAAGTACCTTGGATACGTAATAGATCGTGAGCTCTGTCATCGAAAGCACATAGAGGAAATACGGAAGTAAAAGTTGGGAACGCTTTGGTGAGAAGCCGTTTAGAATACGGAGCAAGCATTTATGGCAGCGCCGCGAAAACCAATCTGAAGAAGATCCAAACCGTTCAAAATTCGTACATACGAATTGCGATGAGATACCTTCCTTCAACGCCGGTGCACGTCATGATCTCAGAAACTGGACAGATTCCCATGGACCTACGGATAGAGCACCTAGCAAAAAGGGAAATCCTGAGGAGCACATACCATCAAAACCCACTCTCAAAGTTTATCTAACGAACCGTTGATAATGAAAAACCAAACGGATCATACATAACGCTTGTGACAGACAAACACGTCGATGTGATTATGCAACTTCACCCAAAAAATGAGGAAATCAGCAAATTAACCCGTCTCCAATACTTCCCGAAAGTTGATATGTCGTATCACGTTCGGAGCACGCTAACAAAGGACCAACAGAAGAAAACTAATTTACCAGCACAGCAGTGGCAGAAACTATATATGGAAATTATCAGCACAAGATACCAAGGATACAACAGGATCTTCACCGACGCGAGTAAGACTAGTTCAGGAACGGCGATAGCAATGTTCGACGAAACATCCAAGACCAGCAAAGCGGATAAAATAAATGACAATTTTTCAATAACCAATGCGGAGCTGCTAGCCCTGCAAAAGGCAGTGGAGTGGGCCATAGAAAACAATATAAAGCAAGCGGTTATCTTGACTGACTCAGCGAGTGCATGCGCCATCCTGAGGAACAGGAAGGAAGTCCCAGAAAACTACATAGCCAGCAATATAGTTGAACTATTCCAAAAAGTTGAATGCCGAAACTTGAAAATCCAATGGATCCCGAGCCACTCAGGAATCCAGGGCAACGAAATAGTAGACGGAAAAGCAGTTAGGAGAACAGAAGGGACCCAAAGCATACACAACTCAATCACCTTCGGAGATGCGATAGTGCTAGCAAAAAAAGAATCGTGGGAGGAATGGAGAAGAGTCTTCGAAGCTACGAGTCAAGATAAAGGTAAATGGTACAGATCAGTACAAGAACAACCACGCAGGAATATTTGGTTCAAAAACTTGATACTATCAACGGAAGAAAATATAATCATGAACAGGATAAGAGCAGGGCACACCCTAACGAAAGAAATAAAAGCGATGTTCAAAATGGAACCAAATGACCGATGCACCGAATGCGATGAGACGGAAAACCTAGAGCACATATTGTACATTTGCCCGAAATTCAACCATATCAGAAGCAAATTCCCAGCACTGGAATACTGCATGCCGCTCGTCGGGATACTGCAAGATGAATGTGAGACAACGATGAAGCAGATCACCCGCTTCATTCAGGAAATAAAATTACATCTATGAATCAAAACCAAGAACACCTGGGAAGATGGACCAACCATGGTCTTAGCCGTCATCAGACAACAGCAAACAAAAAAAAACATTTCTCGTTCGCACACTTTTTCGTAGCTGTCAGATGCTTGTCCAGTTCAGTGCCCTTAAGAAACGTTTCGAGAAACTGAACGAAAAACTTCTTTTGAATTACGAATGAAGTGATGATTGGAAAATTCCCTGAGTCGAACCCAAATTCCCTGAATATTCCAGGTTTTTCCAGAAAAAATAGCATTTCCTGCAAATTCCCGGTCTTCCAGGTTTTTTCAGGTAGTAGACACCCTGACATTGCTTGTAATCGACGACGAAATAAATAGCAAAGTACGGTAAAACACGCTTTTTATTCTCTCGCAATTCGAACCGTCGTTTTACCTGTTAGTTTGTAACAGGATATCTGCGGAAACACATTAAGGCAGCGAATTCAATCGAATACTTTGAAAAAAAGACTGGACAAAAGTGGGAAACATTATCGCCAGGAATCTGTGCTGAAGCTCAAGGGAATCGTCAGATCAAAAGTTCACTCCTTGGCGTACGATTAAAGAAACTTCGGATTATTTTCAACCAATTGAAAGAGAATACTATAGAGAACATATATATGAAATTAACATAACGTTTTTTTTTCCTTTGGTTTGTTTTTTTCCGTCGATCTTGTTTTCCGTGCTGAGCACCAATGCTACCGACGTGCCAGGAAGGCAGCTCTCACACCTGGACCCTACCTATCGACCCCTCAACTCATGAACCGGGGACCAGCGGCTTTACTTCCCATCCGAAGGAAGGCGTGATCAGAGATGTTATGCCTCAGAACATCCCGGCGGCGCCGACTGGTATTGAACCCAGGCCTGCTGGGGTGAGAGGTAATCAGGCTCCGCCGGCGCCGTTTGTTAACATAACGTTGTTTTATTTCGATAATAAACTGTGCTTATACTTTCTGGGACACCCTATGTAGCTTTCTCAGTCGATAGCAGCACTCCTGAAATGTTATTTAATGGGAATTTTGAAAGAATTATCAATCTCATTGGAAATAGAACCAAAATAAAACACCTCGTTTCTCTAATTGACAAACCAATCAAAAAGGACTCAAAATTTACTCACCGCTAGAAGCAAGGTTTGAAGAGGAATCGACGATTTTTCATAAATCTCCATATCACAAAACTAGTATATCCGCCATTGCAGTGCACTGGCGGGGTGACATCTGTCGAATTTGATGGGGGAAAGCTATCACTCAATTCAACGTTTGTCATTTTCTAAAAGCAGTGACGTCGCGTAACCTGACTTTTGACCTGTTCTCCCTCTGTAAAAAACGTAAACAAATAAACAAATATTGCAAAAGATACAAATCAGTTGAACTAGATTCTGATTCTGTGTAACCGGTTTTGGACAAGAACATGATTATAAATTAGGTTTTTGAAGTCGGAGGCCAAGTAGAGGCCACTGTGTTAAAGCGCACGCTGAACAGAAATGCACTAAATTTGAGTTGACTACTTTTTGCTCGTTCCACCTTTTCATGAGACCAATTCGTTCGAGATGTTGTCCCGAAGCTAAGTTGAAATTTCTTGGTTCCTATCACGAATATTTTCGAACCGTTTGGCAGACTTGCCAACCCACACAGTAGGGAGTGTTCGGATCAGTGACCGGCCCCCGCCGCCGTTAATTTTAGTTAATTTATTGTACAATAAATTGGGCTTAGTAACAATGCTTCTTTGATTTCCTTCTTGTGTGTGTGTTTTTTTTTGTTTGCTTAGTGTTATCTGTTGCTCTTTAACTCATCTGTCGCAAATTTTCCGCTCTGCCTTTGGCCGCTGCTGCTGATTTCTATTTCATATCTAGGGTTAATTTTCTTCCTCTGCTTTTTCTTCTTCTTCTTCTTCTTTGTCTTTATTAAGTACTTTCAATGCAACTTTTTCGCCTCATCGTGATTGAGGGCGACATTTTCAATTTGTGTGCTTTATGGAGTGTATGTGTGTTACTTTTTCTGTATTCGGTTTTGTTTTAATGTGTTTATGTGGTTGTGTGAGTGTGTGGGTGTTTAGCAATAATGTTTCACAAAATATATTCTTAGTGCTTCTTACCTTCTTCGCAACTGGTTTATTCTTTCTCTGCATTTTTTTCTAACTCATTACTCTTATTTATTCTGGTTTAGAACTGCCGTTACGCACCTGTATGTATGTGTTCGGATGTGTTTGTGTGTTTGTGTAAATGCTCTCTGTGTCTTCACTAGTTTTGTTCTTGTTAAAGTTAGGTTTTTTGTTTGTTTCCTTTTAAATTGTTTATCTCTATAAGAATAATTCACAAGACTAAGACTGGCTGTTTTTTTTTGCGACTTGATTTTTTTGTTTTGTTTTGTTTAGCTTATTATTTAAATTTAAGGTAAAGTTTTTGCTGTTTACAAGGGGTTGAGGGGAGGTGTTAACAACACTTGCGTATTATTTTTTTTTAATGTTTTGCTTTTTTTCTGTCGTTATAAAAAGTAAGTTTGAAAACATCGCGCACAGGATTATCGTTAAGTTTGAAGCGTTTGTTTTCTGAAGCGTTTTTCTCTATGTTAAACGCTCAACTAGCTGTTTAAAACACATGTCTCTTACTGTGTGATAGTCGATAAAATAATGCGCAGTTTCTGTTTTTTTCATTTCATTTTTCAAACAACTTTTCGGGGGAAACGGGGGTAAAGTGGCTATCTCGTACTTTTGCTATGTGCCTATGTTTTAACTATGTTTTTAAAAAGTATACCATTAACTACTAATTATGCAGCGGTGCAGACCTGTTATGTTTTAACTGTATAACTTGTTTTGCGTTCACTTATGGTGCAACTAAGTAGCTCAAAGTTTGCCGAACGAAAATAAGCCATTCTGGTTTGTTTACTTTAATAATCTAGCTAAATTGCCACATCAAAAATGTTCAGCCCTGTTTGCTTCTAATCTACAAAGGATTAAAGTTACACCAACACCAACTTAGGGACTAAAACTGGTGACTTAAAAGTAGTGGGGGGAAAAAGGTGTAAATTAAGTACTTGTCTTTAGAAAAAATCTTAATTCACTCTCACTATCAACAACGGAATGGTTCGGGAAAGATTCCTGTCTTGTTTTTTCGTATCAGTCTACGTCGAATATTGTTTACTCTAAAAATAACACTTAAGGTGGAATGAGCAACATATCTTTTTTGACACAGGAATGTGCTTAGAAAACGGGGAATTTTGGACGAAATCTGATTCTCGATAATACGTTGTTTGTGTCTTCTCCGTAAGGACTAGTCTCTGTTTTCCGTTAAGTACAAAGCGCAAAAAATATGATCATAACTTATGGCTTTCAGTTTTCCAACTGAGCCAGTGTTGGAAATCCTCAACTCTTTCCCCGTGCACCGTGCACGATCACAAAAAAAGGCGGTGGATTCCCATTCCCGTACTATTCGTAAGCGAAAATCAAAAATGAACCACGAACGGCTCACGCTTGGCTTCCTCTTTTCCAATATAAAACAACAGAAATGTAAACGAACATGGTGTTTACGTCGTGTTCCTACATTATCCGTGACTGACGAAAAAGAACGCGTGAGCGCGCGTGTGTATGTGTGGGTATGTATCTCTTCGGATGTGCGGCGGTGCGCGTGTTACACTTAGAACAAAAAGCAAGCTATTTGGACGGAAAATTACGCACTCTCATTGGGTTGTTTACTTTCTCCTCTACGTTTTCTTTTTCAGTGTTGCCAGTTGTTCCGTCCATTTGTGTGTGTGTGTGTGTTTTCTTTTCTTAGCAGTGTTGCAATGTGAGCGTTAGAGAACTGTCACTTGTCGTCGCCCCACAAAAACAGAAGAAAGTAAGCCAAAGCTCTCTAAACACTCTGTGTGGATTTGTTTTCTTGTTTTACGATCGTTACTTGTTTTGTTATTTAAATCTGGGCAGGATTTTTTCAAAAAATGCTTGGCACGTGAATAGTTTATATTAATGTTTTTACTTTCCGCTCTCCTTTCCTCTAAGTATGTATACTAAGTTTCGTCGCTTTTGACCACTGTCACTGCAGTGTGTGTGTGTGTGTGTGTGTGTGTGTGTGTGTGTGTGTGTATCTGTGTTGTTGTTCTGGTTAAGTAGTAATGCAAAAATTAGCGTTCCAGGAGTGGCATTTAAAAAGTGCTGCGGTCTAGTGCTTGATTACTCTCTTGTGTTTCAAGGTTTATGTAAATATTTGCGGACGGATAACCTCAGAAGATTTTTTATTTTAATTCACATCATTTTCTGCTTAAAACATGCTCCCCATCGCCAGCTTTCGTTGGCTTCTTCCGCAGCGTTAGTTGCTCTAAAATTTTCTGATTTTTGTTTAAATTTACATTTGGCATACATTTCGCACCATTCCGCTTTCTCCGTGTCGGTTGTTTTTATTATTATTATTAGTTCATTTTAAAAGTATGGTGAATTCCAAACCTTTCTCCTTCTCCTCCTCCCATACCGGTTTGAGTTCATGTGATTAAAAGAATTTGTTATCCTGTGTCTTTCTTGTGTTGTGAATACATCAAATTTGGCATTGTTTTAACACTTTTCTCTTTGCAAGTGTTGTTTTTGCGTCGGTAAAGAAGATTTCCGCTTACATCTAAACAGTTAGTTTTTAAGGTTGTCTGCTTTGCATTTTTTTACTCTCATAATTTGAAGCTTTGCAACACATTTTGCTTGTTAAAGTTTGAACCGTTAAAAGCTTTTCGTCCCCTAAATCTATGCTACGCACTTGAAAGCGTAACGTCACTCTTCCCCCCTCGCTCATTAGACAATAAGTAACAATTGCTTACCTTTTCTTTCTCGTATTTCCAATTATAAGTCAATAATTTGGCCTCATTTGTGTGGTTGTGGTTGGGTGTGGGTGTGTCTGTCATTCAGAACACGACGACCAGCGATTCACGATCGCTATCGCTGTTTCCACCGGAATACCGGTTCGAATGCGGTCGAGTTCGGTGTTGTTGTTGTTGTTGTTGATGATGGTATTGCAGTTCTGCTTCACCTTGGCTCGTTATCGAGACATACCGGAGAGACGAGTTTCAATAGCGCTGCTGATACTCGTGATGCCAACGGTTGAAATCGATGTGGAACACGATGATCGAACCCGTGGCCAGACCCGCCAGGAGGTATCTGAAAGGTAAGGAAGGAAACACATATAATCACTTCTAACTCTCTGTTTCATTCGACCGTATTATTTTAGAGTGCCTACAGCAAACCTAACATGGGTCACTGATGACCGGCGATAATGACACCAGCAGAGAAATTCAAAGGAGCATTGCGACAGGAAATCGTGCTTACTTTGGACACCAAAGGACGCTCCGGTTTAGTAAAGTTCGCCGCACTACGAAGTTGGCTATCGACAAACGACCGAAGAGATGCAACGCGAACACTGGCGCGGTAACCATAGTACGGTGATAGAAGAAATGCTGAAAATGGACTCTAAACAGCGCTATACACGATGGTCCCCCGACGAGACAAGGGGTTGGGCAGGCCCAACAAGCCGCCCGAGAAAAACATAAAGTTTCAAATACCGAAGAAAGAAATACGGATCGGAACAATCGGCACAGACCTACGCGACGAAATAAGGGCTACGATTGGAAACTCGGAACATGGAACTGCAAATCGTTTGGCTTCCCGGGCTGCGATAGGTTAATCTATGACGAACTTCAACCACGCAACTTCGAAGCCGTAGCACTGCAAAGTCCCTGGACGAGACAAAAGGTATGGAAAAGCGGGCATCGAGCGGCTACTTTCTACCAGAGCTGTGACACCACCAACGAAGAATTAAGGACCGTTTCTTTAACTACAGCATCATCAACGTGCACTGCCCACACGAAGGGAGACCCGACGACGAGAAAGAAACGTTCTATGAGCAGCTGAAGCAGGTGTACGACGGCTGTTCGCAACGGGACGTCAAAATCGTCAACGGCATGCCGTATCGAACGACAACGGCCAACGATGCGTGAACTTTGCAGCCTCTCGGTGTATGGTAGTTCGAAGTACCTTTTTCCTCCGCAAGGATATCCACAAAGCCACCTGGAGATCACCTGACCAAGAAAACCAAATCGATCACGTTCTAATCGACAAGAAATTCTTCTCCGAAATTATCAACGTCCGCACGTGCCGCAGTGCGAACATAGATTCGGACCACTACCTAGTTGCAGTATGCATGCGCTCAAAACTCTCGACGGTGCATAACACCCGTCGAAGTCGAACGCCGCGATCTAACATTGAGTAATTACGGGACGCCGGAGTTGCCCAGCTAATGCACTACCCACGGTAGAGCAGCTTGGCGTAGCTTCTCTTGAAGATAGCTGGAGGGACATCCGTTCCGCCATAGGTAGTACTGCTGCAGCGGCACTAGGTACTGCGATCCCGGACCGAAGAAATGACTGGCTTGACTACGAATTGCAAACTGTTAGTAGAGTAGAAGAATGCACCACGGGCGAGAATGCTGCAACACCGCACGAGATTGAATGTGGTGCGATACAGACAAGCGCGGAACAGACAAAACTCGGTTTTCCGAAGGAAGAAGCTTCAGCAGGAAGAACGAGATCGCGAGGCGATGGAAAATCTGTACCGCGTAAACAACACAAGGAAGTTCTACGAGAAGCTAAATAGTTCGCGTGCCGCAAGCCGATATGTACAAGGACTTGGACGGTAACCTTCTCACAAGCGAATGTGAGGTGATTCAGAGGTGGAAGCAGTACTATGACGAGCACCTCAACAGTGATGCAGCAGAAAACGAAGGTGGCACGGCAACAGACCTTGGAGCATGCGCAGAAGACGACAGGCTACCGGCCCCTGATCTTCAAGAAGTTGAGGAGGAGATCGGTCAGCTGAAGAACAACAAAGCAACTGGTGTAGATCAACTACCAAGTGAGCTATTAAAATACGGTGGTAGAGCACTGGCTAGAGCGCTGCACTGGGTTTTTGCCAAGATTTGGGAGGAGTGGATGGAAGGTGTTGGGCTACAAAATGGTGAGTGACAATCTGGAAGGAGTGACATACCTAGCTCCGGTCCTCACAAGTTCCTACCTCACGCCTCCACGAGTCATATGATCACAAAAGACTGCCAGCTGAAACATGGACACAGCTGGTTGGCGTAGCCTGGGCAATGTTGTCAATCCGACAATAGCAGAGTGAGGAGGTGCGACGCGAACACAGAGGAAATGCTTCGCCAACCCGAGCGTCTGTTCACCATGGAGGTGCGGCTCAAACAGCGTCTGACTGGCATCCAGCGGCTGAATAAGAAATGCTCTTCCCCGGAAGCTACACCTAAGATGGCAGACCCATCACGACGGATAGGAGACCTTAGGCCAACCACCTACTGTCTCTGAAACCTTTACAATTGTTACAGAAACCAACAGAGAAAGACATCGAACTGATTTAACGGCAACGACTTTTAGCGCAAAACAACGGACACGAATTGGATCATGGAATGTATTGACGTTAGCCCAGCAGGGTAAACTGGCACAACTCGCCAACGAGGCGCGACGCATGAAGCTAGAAATCCTGGAACTGAGTGAAGTTCGTTGGCCAAACTTTGGAGAACACAAACTGCTGTCGGGACAGGTACTACTATACTCTGGTATTCGAGGTGAAAACGCTCCCCGCCATCGGGGAGTTGGTCTCCTACTTAGCGTCCAAGCAAGTACTGTGCTCATCAAGTGGGAGCCTGTTAATTAGAGGATAATCGTTGCCAGATTTAGAACAATGTTAGGCGCCAACCGATGCTGCCGAGCTACAGGACAAGGAGAATTTTTACAGTCAACTGAATGCCGTCGTGCATAAGATTCCAAAGGGTGACATCAAGATCTACACTGGCGACTTCAATACGAAGATCGGCTCCGACAACCCGGACTATGAGCGTGCAATGGGACGCCATGGTCTCGGCGAAATGAGCGAGAACGGTGAGCTGTTTGCAGAATTTTGTGGCAATAACGACATGGTGATCGGGGGCTCGCTCTTCCCCCATCGGCCAGTGCACAAAGTCACGTGGGTTTCCCGTGATGGACATACCGAGAATCAGATCGACCACATCTGCATCAGCCGAAAATGGAGACGGAGCCTTCTTGATGTCCGGAATAAACGCAGCGCCGACATTGCGTCTGACCATCACCTTCTAATCGGCAAAATCCGCCCATGCGGATCCAGCGACGGGAGGAGAGACTCGGGCGGCGGTTCAACACACGCCGACTTGAAGATCCAGCGGTAAAAAGGTCTTTTGTTGAAGAGCTTGAGACTCGAGCTGCGGACGTTCCAGAAGGTGGCAGCGTAGAAGAACAATGGACGGCCATCAAGAATGCCTTTATAGAAACAAGCGAGAACAACTTGGGTGAGCTGCGCACCCAGAGGAAAGAGTGGATCACAGATGAAACCTGGCGGAAGATTGAGGAGCGTAGATAAGTAAAAGCCGCGATAGAGCGGGCGAGAACCAGAGAAGCTGAGAACGAATCCCGTCAACGGTACTCGGCTCTAGAGGAGGAAGTCAAGCGCTTTTGCAGACGGGACAAGCGAGCGTGGGTGAACTCCCTGGCCGACGAAGGGGAGAAAGCCGCAAACACTGACGATATACGCCTCCTCTACGATATCTCACGACGCCTGAGTGGAGCAAGGATGAACCCGAGGATGCCAGTGAAGGACACGACTGGACAATTGCTTACCGACCCCACTGACCAGCTGAAACGCTGGTTTGAGCACTTCAAACAACTTCTTCAAGTTTCGACGGCCAATTAGCCATCAACATCTCGGCATGATCCACCTAGGGTGCGGCGCATCATTCTCGTCAATTCCGAGGCCCCATCACTGCAGGAGATTGAAGCAGCTATCCGAAGCATGAAATCCAACAAGGCTCCAGGGGTCGATCGCATATCAACAGAGATGCTCAAAGCTGACCCCACGCTCAAATGTTGCATCAACTATTCTGTAATATCTGGGACACCGCGACTTTTCCGGCCGACTGGATGCAGGGCGTCTTAGTGAAGGTCCCAAAGAAGGGGGATCTGACTGTGTGCGACAATTGACGAGGCATCATGTTACTTTGTATTGTTCGCAAAGTTCTGTGCAAAGTTATCCTGAATCGGATACAGTAGAAGATCGACGCGGCTCTCCGACGGCAGCAGGCAGGATTCCGTGCCAGAAGATCTTGTGTGGACCATATTTTCACGCTCCGCATCATCCTGGAGCAGGTCAATGAATTCCAAGAGTCCCTTTATTTGGTATTCATTGACTACGAAAAGGCTTTCGACCGACTCAATCACGAGAATCTGTGGGGCGCCCTGAGATGCAAGGAAGTCCCGGATAAAATCGTCAACCTCATCGAAGCGCAGTATGAGGCTTTCACGTGCATAGTTCTGCATAACGGAGCCTTGTCTGACCCTATCCGGGTAGTCGCTGGTGTGAGACAAAGATGTATACTATCACCGCTACTATTTCTCATCGTAATCGACGAGATCATGGTAGGTGCAATTGACCGTGTACCAAACCGTGGGCTGCTATGGCAGCCTATCACCATGGAGCATCTCAACGACTTCGATTTGGCTGATGATGTTGTTCTTCTAGCACAACGGCGCTCTGATATGCAGAGTAAGCTCAATGACCTAGCCGAACGCTCCTCTGCGGCGGGTCTCACCATCAACGTCAACAAGACCAAATCGGGCAACCCTCCCAAATTTACGGTAGCGGGGCAAGCAGTGGAGAAGGTCGAAAGTTTCCAATATCTTGGCAGCCAAATAGCGTCGGACGGCGGGACCAAGAGCGACATAGGTGCACGAATCAAGAAGGCTAGGGCTGCCTTTGCGAGTTTACGAAACGTATGGAGATCCAACCAAATAAGTCAACGCACCAAAAACCGAATTTTCAACTCAAACGAGAAATCTGTGTTGTTATACGCCAGCGAGACGTGGTGTGTATCAGCGGAGAATACTCAAAAGCTGCAGGTCTTCATCAACCGATGCCTGCGGAATATAATTCGTGTCTGGTGGCCTAACAACTGGATCTCGAATAACGAGCTCCATCGTCGGTGTCATCAGAAGCCGATAGCAACAGTAATTCGAGAGCGAAAGTGGAGGTGGGTCGGCCACACACTTCGACGGGGCGGAATAGAGATAACTGCAAGCAAGCGCTGG